AAGAAACTGAATCTAAACTTGGTACTAATATACTCCGACCCGGATAGCTTTATTTATGCCATAACAACTGACGACGTTTACCAGAGAAAATAAAAGCTGACTTCGACATTTCAAATTATTATGAGACATTTCAAATTAAAAGCTGACTTCACCATTTCTAATTCGACGATACCAACAAGAAAACTGTGCAGAGTTTAAAGACGAGACTGGTGGGACCCGATCAGAGAATTCGTCGTTAATGGTAAAAAAAAATCCCAACTTAAGCCACCCTTCCACCCCCATTCCTCCCTTTCTATTGAAAAAATACCGCTACCACCACCACCAAGCTCCCTTCCTCCCCCCTTCATTTGTTGCAATTAACTTTGGGCATTTAGCTGATTTAGGAAACCTTATACAATGTTGCCTAAACGTTGATTTAACTGAAAACATGTTTCTTTCTTCTTTTTTCCTCTTTTTTAATCATAATTTAGAGTTTTCTGCTCTTTGGTAAAACGAATGAAACTTTGTTCAGTATAAATTGAGTTGCTGAAGTGAAATGGAACGATCCCCTGCCTTGTCGAAAAGAATAATAACTTGGCTACTGTATAGAAGACACTCAAAAATTGAGTGCCAAAGGAATAAAACGGAGTGCACAGCGAGAACTGGTCCACCAAACCTTCAGGGACATTATTCACTGGAAAAACAATGATAAGGTACAACTATACAATAGTTTCGAAAGGTCACACTAATATGACAGTGAAACAAAACAAACTTGCATTATCACCATTCGACTCAAAACGTTTTCTACTTTTCGACAACTCCATTTGGCCATAAAGCCGCCGAAGAAATTGCTTTTCTAGAATTCATTTACATGGACACCTAGTGGGCCAACTCATACAAGGAAGCTGGTAACAGTTCGCCCGAATTTCAACTTCCGGATTGGGGATTTTTACGGCGGCCCTACTCAGAAACAGAGCTGCGAGAAGAAGAAGCGTCTAGTAGCCGAGTCCGTGAACGTCCCCCTATAAATGACCCATTTAATTTATCGAAAGCTTCAGAAGAAAGACCATCTACAAAACCTCGCAAAAAAAACCAAAGCAAAAAACATTAAATTCTGAAACATTTGAGATGATTATTACTGCTCGTCCTTTTTATACTTCGACTCAAGTTGTTTGGGTTTTTACCAATTTACCACTAATAAAATATTCGTATTGGGCTCAATCACTGTTTTATCATAAAAAGCTTCAGGCAAATAAACTAGTTGAAGCAATCAAAGTGTTAGTTCAAACAAAAATGTGAAATCATTTGATTCAGTTTTAAGAACAAACTTTTAGACAAATCTTCGACGAAAAGAAAGAAAGCCAGGAAATGATATCCACATGAAACTAGGACGAAAAAGAAAAATTTAGGAATTAGAATGGTTAACTTTAATTAACACATGAAAAAGGACCGCTTTACAGGGAATTAGAAGGAATTATTGTATCGAGTCTCGGTTGTTAAGCTCCGCTTAACAAGGTCTTAAGGAGGGGGTCTTTTACTTTAGGGGTGGGAACTTAAGGACACTTTTCCTAGGATTTTGCTTTATGTGAAGACCCCCCCTTTAGGAAGGACCTCCCTCCCCTTAGGATCCGAGACACGAAACAAAAATACTATAATTTAGAAAAATCAGACTTTTTTTCTTATTTTATTGTAAGCTTAACGAAAAAATTTGGAAATATCACAGAAAGAAAAAATGGAACATTTAAAAATTTGACTAACAAAATTAGGATGAGAGACCACATCTGCATCCGCTGGTGGTAGGCTGACATCACCCCTTATCGACAATTTCTCTTCTAAATTTAGCTTTTTTGAAAGTGTTCAAAAAAGACAAAAACACCAAAATTATGATCTTAGGATTTTTGAAAAACTTTGAAAAAGCATAACAAATGGTATATCTCCGAAACTACGATGATTTGAACAATCATAGTTAAAGATACTATCTGAAACCTCTGCGAGTACCTTGAGGCCATCCCACTATAAGCTGAAGTTTGGAATAAAATTCAAATTTTGAAAAATTTTTATTTTAATTCTAGCTTTTTTTTTATTGAAACTTTCAAAAAAAAATATATTAAAAGAGGTCATATCGCGAATAGCAAAAAAAAATTTGAGCAGTTACATTTGAAGGCAAGATTTCCAAGACCTCAGGGCACCTCGACAGCACCTGACTAAAGGTTTAGGAAATTCTAATAATGAAAGCTAAATTTTCTGAAGTCATAAAAAACATCTTATCTCTGAAACTCAAAAGATTTGAGCAGTTTCATTTGAAAGCAAAATTTGCAACGCCTGAGAGTACCTTTACAGCATCTCACACTAAAGAATTCTATCAAAAGTTTGCATTGCGAAAAATGTAACTGTAGGGTCCCAAAGCATTCACACTCCAACTATGCATGGTTACTCCCAATTACATCCAAGCTACCTTTGGCTGCAAGACAGACTTGCAAAAATTGGTTTTTATTCATTTGTACATTAGTTACCTCACATAGTGAGCTCCTTAAAATTCGATCGAATCGCTCCGAAAAACCACTTTGCAAAAAAAGCACTTGTACGCAAAAAATTACAAAGTTTTGTAATGCTAAAGCAATTTTTCAGCTGGTAAAAACCATATTGAGCATCCAGCTCGTCAAAACCTCTCGAAACTAGTTTTGTTTTCGGTTTAAGTTTTGCTTTAAAGGCCTCGGAGCTCTATCTTATAGTCTTCGGCAATATTTCCATCATCTAAACACCATGCGTCAACTTCGAATTAGAATTTTTTACTAGCGTCTGTATTGTTCCATAGAAGGAAGGAGCCTTGGGTACACAATGGTGTACTCCATCCTACCGGCAATGATGGAATTTCCGTTATAAAGGTTGCTAGGGTTGCTGTGGACGCAATGAATATATTTGTGCAACTGCCGGCGGTTCGAAAAAAACATGATTCAATATAATTTCTTCAATAAGCGAAATATAACGGTTACTTAAATTTATTTTAAGTTAAACTGGGCACTTCGGGTTTTCCTTAAGCTCCATGTTTCTAGGGAGTGTTCAGCTATTTCAACTAGTCGTTTAGAACCACATGTCACCTGAAATATAATCTAGTGAAGGCGATAAGTTTTGCTCCAAAAACGAACGGTCTCAACAGTTCGGGTAATTTACCTTCTCTAATAAGGTTTAGGAGTTTAGTAAGAGATTTAAAGAAACTGAGCCCCGCATTGCCGTTTGATTTACAAATAAGGTCTTCAAAAAACATTGTCCAGACTGGCTACACAACCATTTGGAAAAGACATTATTGCTTTGTAAACCTCGAACTCAGTTACGAAATGCTATAGTTTTCCGCGTTTGGGTTATTAATATCAGCTACTTTATGAAGCTTAGATAGTAATTTTTTGATAGTAAGGAGTCAAATAAGGTTCATCTTGTCATCCGAAGCGAAAAGTCTTACTCATTACTATATATTTCCCTCGTCCAGCGTGCTACTGAGTAGCTTTATTACCTGCTCAAGATCTGTCCGGGGTCAGTCTTGACCTTTGGGGAAGGGGTATGGCAGTGAAAAAATATTGTCTTTTAGTTTTTTGTTTATAAGGGAGCTGAAAGCTGTCGCTTGTTTACGGCCACTTTTGGGTTTTTCTAAAAAAAAAAGAAGACGTCAAAAAAAACTAGCCAAGAAAGACGAAAAAACCGAAAACTTAGATCTATGAAAAAGATATATTGAGTCACTCACCGTCAGAACAAAAAAGCTTCAAACTTTCTTTGCTTGTCGAATGCAACCATATGAGTTCAAATAACAGACCAAAACCTATTAAGCCAAAAAAGGAAAATAAAAAAAGACGAAAAAAATTCAAAAAAAAAACTTACAAAAGTTATTAAGTCCCACTCAAAACACACTCACACACAAAAATTTTCCGCTTGTCGAAAGAAGCAACATGAGGTACTGAAGCCCATTTATATGGGCCGAAACCTATCAAGAGGAAAACAAAGGAAAAGAAAAAACATAAAAAGCCCAAAAAATGTCAAAAAATCTGCGACAATTTCATCTGCACCAAAAAGCATGCTAACTACAGTCGATCGTACAACCAAAAACAACAAATGTTTGAATTTTAACCAATGACAAAACAATTTTTCTGTTTATTTAAATCACTTTATTTAAAGAGCCTAGGAGGCTGATTTAAAGTTTTCCACAATTTCATTTAGAGACATCTACAACTATTATATAATACCAAAGAAGGTTATTCGAAAAAAAAACAAAAGAAGAAGCCGACAGAAATGAAGCCGACCGGACTCAGTGCCAATTTGTACACACAAAAATGGAATCCTACAAAAACTCGTTTGCACTTTTTAACGTAGAACTAAATACTGCGTCGTAACTGCATGGAGCTAACACAAACACCACGCTAAGCAACCATGCACTTTTCACCATTGTTACCATTGGAAACAAAGTACCACTAGAGATGAGTCCATGAGAGATGAGTCCTGTCTGAAGTTTATTACGGACTAAAAAAGTCTAGTACCCGATTAAAAACACTGCTAGCACAAGGTTAACAATTGGAAATTCTTAGGGTCGCTAAGAATTACATTTACATAATTGATATGATACCAGTTTGAACAACAATCACATCTAAACCAAATTAAAAGTCGTGAAGGTTTTAAGCATTCTTTCCATGTATTTTCCTTGTTGTTTTTCCTCATCTTGACTGCGCGGTTTAAGAGTTAAAAAAAAGAAACTTGACTGGGCACAAGGTTACTGAACTAACCCGTAATGAAAGGGCGGGAATTTTCCAGATGAAGAACCAGTTAAAATTATAATTCAAAAAATATATCAATTCTTAAAAAGGAAATTTTTCCCCCAGACCAGAGACCTACTTGAATGACCTGGCTCTAAAACTCCTCAAAGGGTGCTCGACAAACAGGCACCAACATCAAACATATCACATCTATTTATAAGTTTAGCACAACAATTAGGATAAAGGTAGATTATAACCAAGTGTATCAAAACAAATCAGTCTTACCGTTCTGACTAATCCTCTTTTTCCGTAAAGACTTGAACGGCTGACATTAGTCTCACCCACGCCATCGAAATGGACATACATCATTCCGGGGCACATGTTGTCGCAATCCAATAATTTAAATAGCAGCCAAAATGAGTCGATGTTTTGTAACCCTGTTATAGCCTCGAATTCATCGTTACTCAAGTTTGACATCTTCTGAATGCAAAACTGAGCATCATTTTTTAGCTTCGGAGAATGAATGATTTTCAATTCATCAAACGTTATCGGTTGGCTGCAATCATTATCTTCGACTTGACTCTGACATTCGTCCTGTATGGTGTCCAAAAACTTTGTCACTTTGAACTTTGGAAAATCATGGGACAAACTTTTCCTCAATTCCTGAAATGAATTCAATAACCTCTTTTCATCTAGATCGCATCGCTTGGACTCAGTCATTTCCATGTCGAGATCCGATTTTCGCTTCATGGCTGAACCCAACAGATGTATTGACAAATAATGTGACAACCCATCTGAAACCATAGTTTTATATTGACTCTTTTCTATCAATTTTCTGAAGTTGAGAAATTTCCCTTAAAAAGGCAATTCGGTAGACAAAATTGAACAAATGTTTGATTTTTTTTTTACACAGAGGCGAAGCTGTGCTTCGCAAGCACTAGCGAGAGCACGACAAAAAAAGCAGCTTGATGAAGTGAAATGTTTTTTTCTTCTTTTAAATAATCAGAAGGTCAAAAGTAACATAGAATCTGCAGTTACCGTCACGAGTCCCTTCATCCAATTATCCAGTCGAAATTGTTGAAATTTTCAATATATGAAGTAGTAGTACTCGTATAAGACTTTAATTATTAGAAGAGCAAATTTGAGAATGCGTTTAAATTGTAAATTCAAAAAAACGTTTTCGCACATTTTCGTGCATCTTCAGGTTTTAAAAATTCTAAACTATCTGTACAAAATGATCAAAGATCAAAAAAAGTGTCATACACATCGTTACTTCAAAATTTTGAAAAATTCAACCAATCAAAACTTTACAAATATCACTGAAATTATGTAACAACTATTATGTAACATTGAGAAAATTTTTGCTAAAAAGTAAATTTCAAACGTTTTCGCAACTATGTGCATCGTCAGGATTTTTACAATAAACTACTCTAAATGACGATAAAACATCAATTTACAAATTTTATTTACAATAAATCACATACAATTTGGTTCTAAGCCATCATGATAAAAAATTAGCCAATCACAGTTGACCTCTAAATTACTATTAAGATTAAAATACTTTTAACCTCTAAAATTAATTAAACATTTTAAAATTAATTTGTCTGGAAGTTTCTGAGTCATAATTTCGATTTAGACATGTACGTTTTGAATAAAAAACCAAAAATATTTTGGGACTAAATTTTCAGTGTTAACTCCCTGCTCCTAAACTCATCGCGCGTGTTCAAGCCCGGTTTCTCTTTCCTGATATGTATTGCCTCTAGTGTTAGCAATTTTGTTTGGTTGTTTGACCTATCTATAATTTCCCAACTAAGATCTGCGCTATTTCCCTCAACTCAAGTTGGCATTGCTGAAGGTGGAGTCCTACCGGTGAGTCTGCTTTCTTATGTTCCTCAATTCTAGTGGTCAAATGTCGAACAGTTTGTCCGACATAGGTGGAAGTGCATCCACTACAGGACAGTTTATAAACCACTCTTGACTTGAGGTCATTAGAAAATGCTGACTTCAGTGATGGTAAAAATGATTGTAGTTTTCTTGTGGTGAAAACCACTTGAACATTAGTTAATTTTCGTAACCTGTTAGCAAAATATTGGCTCTGGTTACCTTTATAATGCACCATCAGCATTGGGGGCTTCACATCCTTTGGTGATTGAACTGACAAACCCCTGTCACAATCCAGGGGCTTGCCCTTACCCTCGATGATCTTGCACAAGGCGTCTGAAGCCACCTTTGCGGACCAATTTTCAGGGTACTGATTTGTCAGTCATTGCGCCCTATTAGTTTCCATAGCCTTATCAAATTGCTCCCAGCTAGATGTACTCCTAAAAACCCTGTATACAGTGCCTTGGATAACACTACGCTTATACTGAGTTGGGGCGCAGCTTGTATAGTTCAGTATAGTCCCTGTATCTGTTGGTTTTTGATACCAACTGCAAGTTACACGCCTACCCTGCGATACATTTATGTTCAAATCCAGGAACGACAAATTCCCCTCCGAATTAATTTTCTCTTGAGTGAACTGCAAATTTGGATGACGAGAAATGGCGGCATCGAGAAGACAACTCGGCTCCCCTCTGACTGTTCTAACAATGTCATCCACATACCTGAGGAACAATTTCACCTGGGGAGTATCCTTTTCCTTGTTCTTAGCTCGGAAGCAGCTTTCACAGTACCAGACTATCTCGGTTATTGATGCGTATACGTCATCGGATATTTTTCCGCATTTTAGATGATAGTAGTTTCGGCAACTCTCGCATTCAACCCCCTTTGATCTATATGTGACTTTCCTGCTGCAACATGGGCACAAGCCGTTTTTGTCATTGATTTGCTGTACCCCCGTTCCCACCGGTATTTGTTGTCGTAGAGCAAATTCGTATTCTTTCAGCAATAAGTTTGCCAGAATTACAGCGAGGGACGCGCCCATTGCTAAACCATCAACTTGTACATACCATGAATCATTACACTTGAAATATACTTTGCTGACCGCCATATTCAAAAGCCTTTTCATGGTTGCTCTTTGAATTTCAGGAGGAGACTCCTGGCTGTACAGCTTCTGTAAAGCAATTTCAATTGCCTCCTTCAGGGGAACGTTGGTGTACAAACTTTTCACATCAAGACATATTATGGTTTCATGGATATTATGTGGATATTATGTAACATTTTTAAATATTTTGTCACAAATTTCTGAGATTTTTCATCCTTTCTGTTTTCACAATTTCGTTTTGTCGCTAATTTTTATGCTAACATGTAAGTTGTTTCAAAATATTGTTGTTATAGCCAGAATTTTTCGATTCTGGAACTATAGCCTTAGTGTCAGCTCCCTACTTCTAAACTCGTCGCGCGTGTTAATTGCCGGTCTCTCGTTCCTAAGGTGCAGCGCCTCTAATGTAAGTAACTTAATGCTGCTGGACGCCTGGTCGATTATTTTCCAATTAAACTCAGACTTACCACTCTCACTACCTCACTGCATTTTATGCTGTCCAACTGGGGTATCCTCTTTTCGGTGTTCCTGAATCCTTGTGGTGAGATGTCGGACCGTCTGGCCAACATAGATGGATTTGCACACACAACATTCAAGTCTGTACATCACTTTTGATTTCAGTTCACTGGAAAAGGAGGACTTTAGAGAGGGCGTACAAGTTTTCATTTTCCTCGTCGTGAATATTATCTGCGCATTGGTGATATCGCGCTTTTTTTGCTAAAGTCTGACTGTGATTCCCCCTATATTGGACCATCAAGATGGGTGGTGAATCACTGCTATAATCACAGTGCTTCTTTTTCTCAGCCATGTTCTTTTTGTTTTTGCACCCCCACCCCTGATGATTTTTCAAAAGCATGGGATGCAACATGCGACGGTCAACTTTCCGGATATTGGTTATCCAACCACTGCTCACGGTTGATTTTCATAGCTTCATCATATTCTTCCCATGTTGACGTACTGCCGAAAACCCGGTGAACAGTTCCTTCAATCACGCTTCTCTTGTACTGAAGGGGGGCGCAGCTTCTAAAATTTAGTATGGTACCTGTATCTGTTGGTTTTTGATACCACCCACAGCTACTTTTGTCAACACTAATTTGTAAATCCATAATTGCCAAATTTCCGTTTTTGTCCAAATTTCCAAAATCGCCAAATTTCCTACTTTTGTCAACACTAATTTGTAAATCCAAAATTGCCAAATTTCCGTTTGTGTTTGGTGTCTCTTTTGTGAACTGTAAATTTGGAGGTAGTAAATTTGCAGCCCGAGCACTTTTTCAGGATCACCCTTCACTGTTCTCACCATATCGTCAACGTAACGGAGAAATAACTTAGCTTGTTGCACTGACTTATTTTTCTCTCTTGTTGCGATGCATTTTCTACAGTACCAGACGGTTTCACTTATTTTTCGATACTCATCATCTGATATATCACCGCATTTTACGTGATACCAGTTCAAACAGCATTCACATTCTACACCTTTTGACCTGTACGTGACTTTCTTATTGCACTCGGGACATATTCCGTTAAGATCATTCTCGGGCAAAAACATTTCGGGAATATCCCTCGATAGTGCAGTTTCGTACTGCTTCAGCCAAAGATTCGCTAAAATAACGGCAAGAGATGCCCCATTGCCAAACCACTTTTCTGAACGTACCATGTTTCATTGCACTTGAAATGGACTTGACTAACTGCCATGTTCAACAGTCTCTTCATGGTTTTCCTAGCAATTGATGGTGGTTCATCTTGCTCATACAGTTTTCTCACAGCTATGTCTATTGCTTCTTTCAGTGAAACATTTGTGTACAAACTCTTCACATCAAGAGACATCAAATTTTCATTGGCTCAAGATTTGTGCTCTCTAAGATTTCTCTCGCATCTAGTGAGTTGGTTTCGATGTTTGCGCCCTCAATTTTCTCGAAAAATTTTGCAAGAACCTTGTTCAAGTTATAATAAGAGCTACCAGGCAAGGAGAGGACCGGTCTTAATGGGGTATTCACTTTATGCACTTTCGCCAACCCATAAAGCCTGGCGGGCTGCCCCCAGTAGACCTCATCCTTGTGTGGAGACTCTCACTTATTTCATCTTTTTTTATCATAGCCAACAACTCTTTATTGATGTCTCTTTCTATCTTCAAAACAATCGCATCACTTGTTCCTTTACTTTTGCTGAATTGATTTGAGTCTAATGTATCCGACAACTTGTTCTCGTAGGTGTCCTTTCTCCTTACACAAAAACCCACGCCTTTGTCATACGGTACCGCAACTAATCCATTACTCTTCAGATACTTTCGGGCCTTCTCAACGCTTTTGTCAGATGGTGTTTGTTTCACCCTTTTAGCATAGCTTTTTGCCACCGCTTCGATCTCACAAAGGGCCTCCCTGGGGACTTTACGATTTTTGGGATCCGATAGAAAGATGTCAATGTCGGCGAGAAAGTGTGTCTCATTAAATTTATCCCTCACGGGATGCTTCGGCCCTAATGCCAACACTTGTTGTACCCAATTTGGTAATTCAATATTATCAAGAGCTCTTACCGAACCCTCACCTTGCTTCCCTAGAGGTCGGTCTTGCCTTTCTGATAGTTTCATTAGCTTCTTCTGATGGGTTTCTTTGACTGTTGCTGTTTTTTACCGAAGGCCTAAATATTTAAGACTTAAATATTTAATTACCGAAGGCCAAAACTTCTCATCTACACCCCTCGGTACTGCGCCTCTCGCCCTTTCTAGTTTGACTTCAACGTTTTTCTCATCTGTCCTTGCCTTGTTTACCTCCGTTCTTAGAATTTTTCTCTGAAAACTGTGTACCGCTTGGTTCGAAAAGACCCCATTTTCCGGTACCCTGAACCTTAAAAAATC